GGATCCTGGCAGGGCGGCTCTCAGTGTTCCGGGGACAGCAGACACCCTCAGGCCCTGCGCCCTCTCTGCACTGGGGTTTGCACAGAGATGCAGGGGGGCATTGGGAGCGGGTGTTGATGGAGAGAGGGGTGTCTGCTTGGGATAAATACCACTGGCCTCAGAAGCTCGGAGCCATCGTTTCGGCAAAAACACCGTGTGCCCACATCGGGTCGGGCGGCGGGCACCCCGGGGAATGAGACGGGGAACAGCACCCGTCTGGGGCTTTGTGAGTGGTGACGGAGCGTGGCCCAGGACAGTGGCGGAGGGACCCTTCCGTAGAAGGGGCCGGAGCTGAGAATTAGCCCACTTAATCTTGACGGCTCTGGGGGGTAGGCGCTGTTACTACGACCCGTGAGCACACGGAGGCCGGGAGTGGGGTCACCCAGCAGCTGAGAGGAGAGCTAACTGGGACCTAGGCACAGAAGCGGGTGTCATGGACGGCCTGCCAGGGGAACAAACGTCCCGGGGAAGGAGCTGGTTACACCCGTAATGGGGGTCGGGTGGGGCCTTCCAGACAAAGAGGTCTCTCTCCTGTGGCAACACCCAGAGGCGGGAGTGTGGGGGCACCAGTGAGAAGGCACCAGAGATAATGCCAGCCAAAGAGGTGGAGAGGAGTGGACGTTCCAGAGGAAGACCGAATTCCCGTTGATGATGGGCTGGGTCTGAAATAGGGAGCGGAGCCCTTAACAATGGCCCTGGGCTCCGGAGTTGTACTTCAGGGGCCTGTTGCTTACTTATCTGGATTCAGAAACTCTCTGTCTGCCCCCGACCCTGGCGGGGGCCCCGAAATCTGCAAAGACTTGGCCCTTCGTTAGAGGTCTTCACGGCCTGGGAAGGCGTAGACAAGCCCCGATGAGACTGTCGCCTCTTAATTTGCACACGGCTCTTCCTATGGGCAGGTTTCGGGGCAGTCCCTGGGCTCGGAGGGCCGTGAATCAGGGGCACTGACCCCACGAGCAGTGTCCTGCCGGTGAAACGTCTACGGGCCGGGCTGGAAGCACGACGGGGAGAGCCTCCAAGGGCATCCCCAGCACAGCTCAAGCCAGTGATGGTGGCTCGGTGATTACCCTGAGTCACCCGGTGAAGGCCGGAGGGCGTGGGCTGGCCACAGAGTTCCTATCCGGTTCCCAGACGAGCTTGCCTACGTGCAGCTGCAGCATGGACGGAGTTTAACGTGGCCATCGGGACTCCCCTCCCGTGCAGGCTCCACTTCCCAGCCGGAGTCCCCGGGCCTCTACTTTTCCTGACATTCCCAGGCTCCAGGATTAGAGTCAGCTCGCTGTTTCTGTACCACGAGGCGCCAGAAACGACTCAAGAGCCAGAGGCCAAGTTGAACGCAATTTATTTCGCTAAGTTTTCTTCGTGTTCATCTTTGAGAGCTTCTGCTTTCGTGCTGCTGGCTGTCGGCGGCCCCGGATCGGTACGCCCCGACAAGCCCAGGCAGCCGCAGAGAGAAGTGCCCGGGCCTGGTATCCACCTGCCTGCAAATAAGAGGGCTTCTCTGTCGGCGACCGGGGACGAGCCGTGCGGAGGTGGTGGGGAGTGCCCGACAGTCATTTGTCGCGCGGGTGGTCTACGCTTTGACGTTGGGGGAAGCAAAGTGAAGTTCGCAGGTGAACGGGGAAAGAGTCCCAGAACCGAAAGAAGCTTTGCAGGCGGCTGGTTTCCTTTTCCCCATTTTAGCAACAAGGGAACGTAGCAGCTTCTCTTTGCCCCCAGTTAGACCTGCCCCGGCTTCGGCCACCTCACACGAACGTGTGACTTCGGTTCCAAGTGAGAAGCCAAATAAACGAATTCGGGTCCTGGGCCAGCTCGCCTCTTCTGCCGTCTTCTCGGAGCTCGGGGAGAGAGTTTAGAGAGGCAGGTGTGGACCGGGTGTAGGCTGCCCTCCCGCTGTCTGTGCTGCTTGGGGCAGGCCTGCCGTGGAGGGGACCCCGGTCCCCTGACATCCTCCGGTGTGACCTCAGGAAGTCGTTTCTTTTCTACTATGTTTACCGTCCTCCTCAGGGAAGCTCCTTCCGGGAGCGCTTCCTGCCAGGCGCTCTGGGGATGATCCTCGGAATACTTTCAGATCTCCCGTGACGCGTCTCCGCGTAAGAATCCCGTGACTTAGGTCGAGGGGATGTTTTTGTCCCCACCTTACAGATGGAAAAACTGAGGCTCGGGGCTGGGGAGTGTGGTGTTACCGTTGCTGGCCCGGCTGGGTCTCAGCTCCGGCATCCTTGACCTGGCGACGCCCGCCGGGAATTGTGCAGAGGCCCAGCCCCGGTGGCCCTTTATGTGTGCGTGCGCTCGTTCATTCCTTAACCACGCGTTTGGCGCCAGGCGTCAAAAAGATGATGACAGGTCCCCCGCCTTCAAGAGAGGTGTGCCGAGGGGCCACCTGCCCCTTTCTCGAGGATCCGGAGAGGAGAAGGTCTTGAGGCTTTTGTCAAGCTTTTTTCGCCCTGGAAAGTTGCACATGGAGTCTAACCCGTGACCTTCCTGCTGCAACTTAAATCTTCACCGCTTCGTCCCGTCCTGCACGAGAAAAGCACCCACTGCCCCGCTTCACGGAAGGGCCCCACGGAGACACATGGCCACCACGGCCGCCCCCGTGGCCTTACTCTGCGACTCCCTCTCCAGCTCCTTCTATACCCAGCTCAGAATCGCTCTCTGATCTGCATACAGTGTGGTAGGAAGGGAACCCACGCCTTCTGTGTAAAGGTTGCTAAGCCCTTACACTTACTCAGATAGGACCACCCCCATTTCATAAAACTAAGACCCAGACGGAGAACGCCCCTGGTCCACAACAAATCAGTGACCGGGCCAGGCCCTGAGGGAGATCAGGGACTCTCGCACCAGTGCTTTCGGCTGTCTCCTGCCCGTCCCCACGGTGCAGCCCACCGTCTTCCACTTGTGGTCCACTTGGACCATGGGATTGTTTTTCCCCTGCCCTCCCCTATTTCTTTATCTGTTCTTGTGTCAGTTTCCACTTACAGTAAACTCTTCTTGTGGGTTCTTGATATGCCGGGGCCTGGTGTGAACTCTTTGTGTATAGACATGTTTAACCCTTCCAGTAACCCTTTGAAGGAAGTCGCGTTATATGAGGGGGGTTTTATTATTCCCCCTGACCCTCATTTTGCAAGGAAGGTTCCAGAAGGAGCTACCTGGGGTAGCAGAGCTAAGTGCACAGCTGGTCTTGGAATGCAGGTAGGAGGGACAGTCGTTCCTGACGAGGCCTCCGTGCCGCTCCCCCGAGGTGGGGGGAGATGTTTCAGGGATATTTTTTCTCTCCCCCAGACTACAAAGGCCCTGAAAGGTCAGGATCGGGCCCCAGCAGACAGACGGTTAGTGTTCAGTTTTGAACCCGGTTAACTTTTCCCTGTCTCGTGTTGGTGGGGGATTCTTGGATGTCCCCAGACCCACTTCCCTGCCCTCTGACCTGATGGGCTCACTCTGAATTTCCTTCCCATTCACTACAGCTTTTTTTTTTTTTTTTTTTTTTTTTTTTTTGGTCCACTTTGTTCAATACTAGCCATTATGCCAGCCACCCAGGAGCTTTTGCAGGGCCCCCGGCAGGTGCCAAGCCCCTTGTGTGTGTAGCTGGTTCTAGATGGAGTTGTGTGAAGGGGGGGTCCCTGGCCCGGCTTTGGGGTTCCCACCACCCTGCTCCTGGGAGTTAACGCCTCGTGAGTAGATGGTCCCAAGACAGCCCCAGCCCAAGAGACTCCGCTGGCTGGAGTGACCGGGGGGCCCCCGGAGCACTGGGGATGGGGATCGGCCCCACGTCCGGGAAGCAGGGAGGCACCTGCAGGGCGGGAACACGGCGTGTGCGGAGGCGAGGACGGGGGAGACGGATGTCCCGACTCGGGCAGAGCCTGCAGGAGTGGGGAGAGGAAGCTAGGGAAGTCGGTACAGGCAGGTTGGAGAAGGCGGTCGGCCCCGCAGCGTGGGCTGACCTCCTCCCACGGGTGAGCCTCCACCCGCTGTGTGGGAAATAGTCCTGCCCATGGTACCACAGTGCTCCCTCATCAGGTCGGGACTCAGTGAGAGGACGTGCCCTGAGCTGAGGAAGAGTGTTGCCCCTGTCCCAGTTACTGGGGGGGGGGGGG